TGTTGGAAGCAGGGAAGAAAAACTTTTCAAGCATCTTCGTCCTCCCACTCTAAGAAAGACCACCATGCCTCATGTCCTCTGATTACAATATTGCTCCCCTCAGCACTTGTGGAGTTGAGTGGAAGCTTTCTCAGCGTTGGAGATGCAGTTACCTTGATTTCTTTCAGGTACGGAAAGGGCAGGGGACTATCATGTATGCTACTCAGCCGTGGAAGCAAACTCAAAATCAGAACGGTAAGTTTTCCAAAAGGGTTAAGTTCTTGTACCACATTTCCAACTCCACCCATCTTTCCAGATTGATTATTTTCTCAATATCACAGCAGGCTTCTACACGTAAATGGCAGAGATTCGGGGCAAAAATGAGCCAAGTCAAGTCCGTTAGATTTGGGCATTGTGATACTTCTATACACTGAAGGCAAAGGAAGCAATTTTGTTTTATCATCATTAAATCCCGGGGATCATTGGGTGCTCGTCCTGCCCAATAAACTTCCAATTGTTGAATTGTGGCCAAGTGGCCAAGTGGACAACAAAATAAAACAACTTTCGACTAATAAACAAACCATAATAAAAAAAGGTGAAAGACATCATGATGAGGAGGCATCATGATTATGTTTGTTGAAAAGAAAAATTGATGGTCATGATGATGTTTTTGAGTTTTTTATTGGGTGCTTTTGTATTGATGAAGTGAGGATACGGAAGTGAGAATGATAGAGGAAGTGTGCACCATTTTTCTGTTTTAGTAGCCCATCTTTGAGAGAGCAGAGCTGCAGAGAGCAGAAAAGAAGAAGAAGGTGCTCTTCTTTTTGGTTAGCAATCATCCATCATAATTATTGTTGTAATAGCTTTGAGCTACATGTATAGAGAAGAAATTATTCATTATATTTCTTTCTCTATTTGTTTATGTGGTGTGTGAGAGCTATTGGGTGTATTGGGTTATTTGGGTTGTGAGATTGCCAACACTTTGTAAACTCCCATTTGGTTGATAGTGGATTATTAGGTGAGCTCCTACTGCTCCGAGGACGTACTCCAGTTACACTGACTGTTGAGGAACCTCGTTAAATCTTGGTGTCTTTAATATTTTGTTCTTGCATTTTCATTTGATATATTTCTTGTGGGTTAGCTTGAGTTGGTTCCAAAAAGGTTTGGTGCTATCCTAGCACAACACCAATTGTTTCCAATTACGAGTATCCCGAATATAAAGGGTATCAAGATGTTTCATATCCACCAAAGATGATATGTCTAGAAAGCTTGCTTGGTTCTCGCCATCTGAGAGCTGTAGAGTCCGAATACGGGTCACCAATTTGTGGTAGCTGAACAATTTTTTGAAACAAGAGCTACTTCGTACACTTAACGTCAAGACTTCAAGGTATTCCAAACCCTGAATTTCCTCTATCAGGGCACCCTCACCATAAAAAAGAATTCTATCTGAAGAACCGCATGCTAAAGTTCTCAAAACTTTTAGCACTGGAAAACTTGATATTAGATTCTGTGGAACAAAATCAAGCTCATCCATATGCTCCAAGTCCAAATACTTTAGCCTTACACATTCCTTTAACTGAATTGGCAACTTTCTTAAACCAGTTCTTGACAAATTGAGATGTTGTAATGAAATCAGGTTGGAAACGCCAGATGGCAATTTGGTTATGTTCAGATTTTGAGACAAATCCAAAACTCGTAGAGTAGGCATATGATCGAAAAAACCATCAACAATCATATTCAAAGGACCTCCTCCACCTCTAAGTAATAGGGTCAACAGATTTGGAGATTTTGGTGTTTCAACCAGACTTTTAAAATCACTACCAACCAATGATACCCTTTTTGTGTTCTTCCATTTCTCCACATTTGGCGTTCCCGGGAGACCTGTGTGCACGAGGATACTCTCGTTTTTTTTCCCAGAGTCACAAGCTAACCACAATGCCATGTCACGAATTACGTCATGCATTTTTACAAAATTTCCTTCCTCTTCCAACAAACATGCAGAAAGGAGAGTTCCTATGATATGGTAAGTCTCATTTTTTGTTTCATCTACGTTAACATACTCTTCAAACATCTCCTCACACATCCAAAAATATAGTAAATCATCTTTACTTATCAGGAAATCTTCGGGAAATAGAGCACAATATAAGAAGCATGATTTGACTTTCTCACTTGGTAGATTATCGTAACTAAATTTTAAGAGAGGAAATACCTTGTCTCCCATAATGGAAAACTCTGAGGCAGATTCCTTTAGAACACGAATTGCATGCTTCCATTCGTGGGGTGTTTTCTTGCACGTCATGGCTCGACCAACTGTAATTATTGCAAGTGGCAAACCGTCACACTCATTTGCCACTACTTGCGCAAGTTTGGGGATATCTGGATGACTTTGAAGAGTTTCTTTGCCCACCTTCTCCTGAAACAAGGTCCATGCTTGGTTCGTCATTAGACAAGTGACTTTCATCTTTATTTGAGCATCCATACAACTACATATATGCTCCAAGCGAGTTGTGAATATTATCTTCGACTTCTTATTGTTAGCTGGACCAGGAATCACTGGATTAGGAATCGCTGGATTAGGAATCCCAACTTTAATCATTTCAATCGACTCCCATATATCATCCAACAATAGCACAAATTTCTTCTCACTCAAGAAGTTGAAGATGTGTTGAGCTTTTTCATGCGGCTCTTTGTGCTTCCATTTGTCATTAAGAATCCCAAGCTTTTCACCAATCTTATCTTGGAGGATTCCAAGTGTGTGGTCTTTTGAGACCACGATCCAAATCACAGGATCAAAATGGTAAGTATTAAAGGCGAAGTTGTTATGGATTTTGGTAAGGAGGGTGGTCTTACCCACCCCTCCCATTCCATATAACCCGATTGTTCCCACCTGTTCATCTTCAACATGTCTCCAGACCTCATCAAACATCGACTCCATCCCCACTGTTTGTTCAGTAGGCATTTCATAGACTACCCCTACCCGCTGTAAGCTTTCTGTTGCCACCTCTTCAAAGCTTCCCTTGCTTTTCAAGGCATCCACTTCCACCAACAATTTAAACACTTTTTTTCCGTACTTGTAGCTGGGAAAGTAGTTCTTGGAGCAGTAAACTCCGCCACATGATTTCTGAATTTCTCGATCTGCACAACTTTGAACTTCTCTGACTCGTGTCTCAATAGTTTCCGCCTTTTTAATCCACAGTTGTACCTGGTGCAAGCGCATCATGGATGTCTGAAGCTCGGCAACCTCAACCCTTCTCACGAGATCATTCTTTAAAGCGGTCAGTTCTTGCAAAGATCGATCCAGAGCTTCAAGGTTTTCTCCGAGCTTGCTGATGTAGTTTGCTTGCTGACTAAGGAAAGCCCAGCAGCAGAAGTTAGCCGTGGGATCGCAAGGTATGGAGACTGAGAAAATGTTCCCCATGGCTTGCAGGAATACTGAAAAATGAAAAGATGTACTTTTGTTTGGGAGAGGAATTAGGTAATGTTTTGTAAATAGGATGATATGTGGAATGAATCATTGCAATTAATGCCTGTACCTTTAGGTTATGTCGGTCGGGCTCACCAGAAACTTTATGTCACTTTAATCAGAAGACCCAATAATTCACTCTTGACTTCCAGATAGACATTTTATTCATGTTGTGAATTGAGTTCTGGAATCAACAAGGAAATTTGCAAATTGGGTTTCGTTTGAGATTTAATGTTTTATGGAGACAAGTTTCAGGTTATTTGAAATGAAAGGAATTGGATATTTTCATTTTTTTTTCTTTTTGCATCAAGGTTCTTAAAAACACTAAGTGTTAATCGGGCGGTGGGCTAGTGCCTAGCGCCTAAGCCGCTAGGCGGAATCTAGGCGGGCGCCTAGACGGCCTAGATGAATTTAAGTAAATTTCTTATATATTATATGAATTAATTAAATTTACTATATCAAATGTAAATAATTATTGAATAATATGTTATTTCTTATAGAAGAACATACATATGTGAATGTTTTATGTACATATCTAATATACTTGTCTCGGAAAAAAAACAAAATATTTTCTAAATGATTTATAATTTATATAACATTTATATACATATAATATACATCCCAAACTTTTAAAACTATAAAAAAAAACCCACGCAAGTGGGTGGTTTCATATTTAAAACCATCTGATGAACGGGTGGTTTCATAATTAAAACCATCTAACTCTTTCACATCACCCAAGAATCCATCAGTAGCTTTTGAATTTTGTTTCTTCTTCTTTACCCTTTCAGAACCTAATCTTTTAGTCTCTCTCTCTTTCTCTCTCTCTCTTGGCACTCTCTTCCCTCATGCCTCATCTTCGTTCTTCTTCTTCGGCCCTTCACTTTCAAAACCTCAAAATTGGATCTCAAATCCAACTTACGCCACCATAGATTTAAATGTTTAATACTCTCTCTCTCTCTCTTCCCTCATCTTCATAGAGACGCAGAAATTCGTCGGAGCCCTGCTGTTATGTATGAGATCGAAAGTTGTAGATCCGGTTGCAAAAATTGCTGCGAGATTCAAACTGCCTAGCCCACCTAAGGCGCCTAGCGAGCGCCTAGGCGGCCACCTAAGTCCTCCCCGCCTAATTGGTCTAAATCGGGTCGGAGCTCCGCCGCCCAACACTTAGGCCAATTTTTAGAATACTATTTCGCATCAAGATATATGAAATCTGTATTTATAAAGTGAGCAACACAATTTGGTGAAATATTCAATAAACCTAATATTACCCTTTCCTTCACATTCAAAAATATAAAAAAAATTCAACCACTTAATACTACGGTCTAGTGGTATTCCCCTTTACCTATAAGTGAGAGATCTTAGGTTCAATTCTTGACAAAGGTGAATTTGAACTGCATTATTGCTAGCCTATTATAAGGTTTAACCCACCTTCTCCCCTTAGTGTAAATAATATCGGTTGTTCCAAAAATAAATAAAAAAATTCAGAAAATCAAAACAATATGGCAAAACCTGCATTACAAACACATCATAAAAAAATAAAAAATAAATAAAAAAAAGGTACAAAAAAAAGAGTAATGCTATATTTTACCATCTATTTGTATCATTATCTAATAGAGGTAAGACCTACCAACACATGTGGCATCTCTATTAGATAGATGATATAAATGATGCATGAAACTAAAATTTGTACCTTCTTTCTTGATTTTCAGTTTACAAGACATATTTTAGTTTACAAGATAAATGTCACATGAATGTTTTGACAAAAAACAAAATGTCACACGAAAGCCTTAATTATATCCAATTGCAGGTAAGCTCAGAAAATTCTCCTTTGGCTATGCTTGTTCTTGGTTCTCACACGTGTGCGTTTGTTTGCGTGCATGAATTTGCAGTCTTCTTGTGAATTGATCATCTGGTTCAACAGGAAATTCATCATTAGTGGAGACAAAGAAGATTCATCATTTGGTTCAACAAGAAATTCGTCCAATCTGCACTCCTTGTGAATCTATGTTCATGGGTTGGGGGTTCTTGTAGCTTCTAATATCATCCTTGTAGCGTTCCTTATCTTGACGAGCCTTTGCTTCATATGGCTCCTTTTCCTCCGCTGAAAAATGGAAAACATTATGTTAACAAAGTTATACTTCGCAGAAATTCCTCATGTTGTGGAAGCACACAAGATGTAATATAGTAGAATCACACATACCAGACATCTTTCTCCACTTCTCTCCAAGCACTCTCCCCACATCAGTAAACGCAATTCCAGGGTTCTCTCTCTTGACATTCTACGGTCAACCAAATAAGGTCAATAATTTCTTCGAAACATCAATAATAACTTGAACCCAAAGTTAGAACCAGTAGATAGAAATTAAAAAACTCACATCTCTCTCCATATTTGAGAAGAACATGAAACCAGACATCGCTCTTTTGGGTGCATTCGGATCCTTTTTCTTCTTCTGTTTTTTCTTCTTTGAACCATCTTCACCATGAAACACCATGAAAATAAAAGAGAAGAATGATTCATGAGATATATTGTTAGGAATTGGCTCGTCAATGGTTACAGGAAGCATTCAAGCTTAAAGACATATCACCTCTGGCGCATATGGAACATCTGGATACCCTTCAAACAAGCAATTTCATCATCGAAGGAGACACAAATAGGTGGAATGGCTTAGTTTGGGAAGACGAAGTTGCTCGAAATGTTTTTCTTCCTTGTTTCAGACCCTCTATCTGAGGGCTGAGGAGGGATGGTTGGGGACCAGTTTGAATATGCCTTTTATTCTCACTTTCTTCCATTTGGTTTTTTGTTTATTTTTTTCATGCATTTCGTGCTCGTAGTTTCATTCTGTTAGCCTTGTGGGATGGGGTGGAGAGATTTTACCCGGTACACCACATGTCATAATATAAGTGGAGAGAAATTTTTTAAAGTGTCCCTCCACTTGAAAATAGAATTAAGGATATGTTGACTCAATGTAGAACTGTAGAAGTGTAAAAGATGAAACAGATGCTAGACTAATTTCTGTAGTTTTTAATTTTACAGCGATGCCAAAAAATTCAAACGTATGAGGCACTTTCAATTCGCAAAATGACTACAAAAGAGAAAAAGCAGCATCACGACACACAGGCAACAAAACTATATCGACAGACGAAGATTTTGCATTAACATTAAGATTCAAGCACAAACTGGGATTTAAGGAGGAACTGCATTTGTATTTTTTTCATGTACCTTTTTTAGCAGACTGAGCCCAGCTTATGGCTGACCTAGCCAAGGCATCTATAGGGTCAATGCATTTCTTAAGAAGAGGATCCAGGTGAAGAAGACCTCGCATATCATCGGACGCAAGAATAACAGAGTTCACAACCCTCGCCAGAAGAACCTGGAGTGCGATCCTCAAGAGATTTTGTGCCCCCTCTATGTCCTTTCTGTTTAAGGCTTCAATAGCAGGGATTACAGAGTATTCCATGGTCACTTTATCCGGCAGAACAACCTCAAATCCCTGCATTTATAATACGAAAAATGAATATCATAACATGATGTAGCAATAAAATTTTTTACAAGTATAGTTAAGGAATTCATATTTAACTGGCAGGAAATGAATGCTATTTAATGTCCTGGGGAACTTGTAATCTGTTGAAAACATATTTACTATTGCTTGTCATACGATACTAGACAATTAAAACAGAAGCTGGAAAATGGAATTACCTCGCTCTGCAGTTTCTCCTGATAGAATCCTGCTGTCAAAGTTGCATGGCTTGCAAGCACTCCAATCCGCAAAGGACTTCCGGCTTCAAGCGGCTTCAACTTTGCTTCCTTGAGCTCCTTGACAACACACTCACCAATATGAAGAAAAGGAACAGAACATCCCTTAGAAATTTCATCATGCCAAGAATGTGATATGTGACAAGGCATTACAATGCAACGAGCTCCCGATTTTTCAAGAAAAATCCTCTTACTCAGCAAATTCTCCACAATTGGAGTAGGATCGAATTCAGGACCATCGCTTTTACTGCTGACAGAAGGAAAAGAACTCTCAATTGATAAAAGCTCCTTATTTGAAACATGGTCAGAACAAAGAACAAAAGGAGGGCAACTTTCTCCATCTCTTGAACTCCAATTGACAAGTTTTCTCATAAATTTAACATTAGAATCGACAGATAGCCCTCCAATTATGCCAACTGTGTTTGGTAGACCCGGAAATGATTTTCTGGGAGCAGTGTTTCTTAAAGCTGCACTTGAACCAGAACCCTTCTTAAACTCTGGAAACGGGCCAGTTTCATCTGTGTGCAAGAGAACTGGGGATGGAGTTTTAGCTTGACCTGGATTCAACCTCGTCATATAAAGGGTTTTATGTGTATTTACAAATCCCAAGTTATAGAAATGATAGTTCGAAGGGCGCAAAGACGTTGCTTCCATTTATCAATCTACAGCAAAAACTCCAGAACCACTACTCAAACCATATAATTCTGCACAGATTTCTGAGTTGCGCAGCCTATGACAACAACCTTCTATACTTTGAACTTTACATTAGGCTCCACAGAATAAACACCCACCGTCAAAAGTTATGAACTTCAACAGTAAATTAACATTTAACAAGGAAAGTACTGAATGAGTCAATTCAGATACTTCAAAGTATGCAATTCAAAAACAAAAACCATATCCTCCAAGATTGCAATCCCCTAAGCAGATAATGGACTCTCTCTCTCTCTCTCTCTCTCTCTCTCTCTCTCTTCACTTGTTCTTCTTTAGTAGCTCAGTGGTAGAGCGGTTGACTGTTAACTAACATGTCGTAAATTTGAATACTACTTGGGGAGGCTTGATTCATTCGGAATTAAAGAACACTGAGATCAAAATCTATATTGGAAATTTAGATAAGTAGAGGAAACTCAGACAAGATACAAAATTTCCAGGATTTGAGGATTATTATCACTATCGCTATAAGGACCTATATTTTATGGCCCTACAGAGAGAGACATGATTCATCAAGGGAATAATAGTCAAGAAAGTGGGGACAAATCATTTGACATCTGATAACAGTGACAAATTTGGCATTACATCATGTTTCAGCAAACCAACAGAGGGCCATGATAATATATTTGACTTGTTGATTAGTTAAAAACCAAAAAGTTAGATTACTTAGGAGTTAGAGGTTGGTCATATAGCCCTATTTGATAGTCATCATTTTTAGTATTTAGTTTTTCATTTTTCGTGCTAGAGATATGAGTAAAGTATATGGGGAAAAAAGGGATGAAGAAGGCAGACGGGAGAGGGATTTTAGCCAGATTTTAAATATCTTGATTTTCCTTATCTCTGTTGTCTAGGGATTTTAGTCGTTATCTTCTGAATTTTATGCACATTGTTATTGTAAAGACATATTTTCAGTTTACAAGATATGGTGTGGCACTGCCAATGAATGTTGTTGATGCACAAAATCAGTGAGGACTTTGGTACAACAGAAAGTGTCAAGTTTGTGACCTTCGCTAGATTGCTTCGGTCACTAGTGTGGATAAGTATGTAAATGAATAGAGACAAGGAAGCAAACACAAGATGTACGTGGTTCACCCAGATTGGCTACGTCCACGGAGTAGAGGAGTTCTCATTAATTGTGAAGGGTTTACACAAGTACATAGGTTCAAGCTCTCCTTTAGTGAGTACTAGTGAATGATTTAGTACAAATGACATTAGGAAAATATTTGTGGAGAATGATCTCCTATTTATAGAAGAGAGTTTCTAGCTTTGTTCTGACATTGACACGTGTCGTGTTGTGATTGGCTTCTGATGTTGACACATGTCGCGCTATGATTGGCTTCTGATGTCGACACGTGTCGCGCTGTGATTGGCCTCCTGGTTGGAGGGAAACTCTTCTGGGTCCTTGACGGTATAACGTTGACCCGGTGCTCAGTAGTTTCGGGATTGGTCAAGTATGGTACAAACAGTGCTCCCCTAAGTTCCCGAGTGAGGGAAGCTCCTCGGTTGGGGACTTGCAAGATCCAAGCCATTGAGTAATCACGAAACTTCTAAGTACCGAAGTGTGGTATCATTTTCACTTGCCTTATCTGTCTCATAGGTAGATGTGGCATCTTCTCTGGAAGTACTTTTCCTCCATCCAGGGGTGGTATCTTTAACCGATGGAGATGCACAAGGTAATGTATCAATTTCACTTGAAGCTTACTTGTAGTTTCGGGCTTGGTCAAGTGCGATACACAAACCCATATAGTAGGAGTCCCCAAGTCGCCGAGCTAGGAGATCTGCCGAAAGAGGTGACAGACAAGGTAAGCAATCAGACTTCCAAGCAAGCAGTCCCAGGATCAGAGGTTTGATTTCGGCTTCCGGTTGATTGTTCTCATTCTCCCTATCTTGCAGGCAGCAAGAAGGATAAAAGAGAAGCAAATGGAGAAGAGATGATATGAGATACTTTTGCTTTTGAAGAAGTAACTTTCCACAGGCTTATTCTTGAACTGGGCTGGAGGGTTTTCTGGTTTCCTCAGAGTATAAGGCCGACTCAAGAATTTAAGGGTAAAAACAAGTCCATCAAATTTAAGAGTGCATTCGACCTTGATGATATGGGATACTTTTGCTGTTGACAAAGTAATAGATGAATCGGCACGTGTTCTGTTGCGCTTGTCTCCACATGCTTCCTTGTATCCTTCTCACTTGCCCTATTTGTTCCTCAGGCAGATGTGGTATTTTTTCTGGAAGCACAAGATGTTGAAGATGACTACTCGAGAGTGATGCCATGTAAGTAATCAGGTAAAGGGTTCCAGGCATTCAGTTCTTGACTGGAAGCTTGATTTCCAAGTGCTGACTGATTGCTCTCTTTCTCCTTGTCTTGCAGGTAAGAACAAGGGCAAAGGAAAAGACAGGGAAAAAGCATGATATGGGATACTCTTGCTTTTAACCCTGATGATATGAGATATTCTTGCTCTGGTGTAGCTTGTTTGCAGAGGTATTATCGGAGGGAAAAGAAGCTGAGTATTTCGAGATACTCTGCTTAGAGTGCCTTCTCGGATGTGAAGAAAAGTTGAGCACTTTTTTTTATTTGCAGGTTGCCTGTCCTTTGGAGGATAGAGGTCGACTGTATATAGGGAATTTCCCAACAACAAGTAGTAATGTTGTTCCTTTACCCTTCTCGGTCATAGCAATGTAGTGAGAGCTGCAAGATTCACGTGTTTTAACTTTGTCAGAGCACTTTGAAAAAGTGGTATGTGGTATCTGAAAAGCTGATGTTGCGTGTGAAGATTGCAAACAAATTTTATCCAAGGAAATCCGGCTTTCGAAGTTCGGAAAGCGGTGCCTTTTCGATTTTCGAACAAGCAATCATGTTGGGGATCTGGCTTTTGAGATTCGTAGAGCGTTGCCTCTTCGATTTTTGAACAAGCAATCCTATTAAGGATCTGGCTCTCAAGATTTAGAGAGCGGTGCCTCTTCGATTTTTGAGAAAGCAATCCTGTTGTGAGTCTGGCTTTCAAGATTCAGATAGCGGTGCCTCTTTGAATTTTGAGAAAGCAATCATGTTAGGAGTGTTTTCTTGATGTAAGTAAGGTTGGGCATTTTTGCCAGTCTGCCTTGCCACAGAGCACAAAGACTGACACACATAGGGACTTTCCAATTATCAAGCAATAGTGTTGTTCCTTTACCCTTGTGGGTAATGGTAGGGTAGCTGGACCTTCAAAATTTATGTGTCTAAACTTTCTTAGAGATCTTTGGCAAAGTTATTTGTGGTACCCAATGAGCTGATGTTGTATGTGGAGATTGTCGACAGATTTTACTCAGGAAAATCCGTTTCTTGAAATCTGAAGAGTGGTGCCTCTTCGATTTTTGAACCAAGGGCCCTGTTGCCCTTTCTTTTATAGGAGCACCAATTGTGTGCAAGAAGTACGTTTAGAGAGTTATTGCTTGTAAGAATTTTCCCTTTATTTTTGTACTTCAAAGATTTATTGGACCTCATTTCTCCTTCATCATTTCTAAGAATGTCTGGCCCATCCGACCGTCGTTTTGACTTGAACTTTGGTGAAAAGGCAGCCATGCCTTCTCAAGACAACATATGGCACCTATCATTCTTATCCCCTACTGGTCATCTTACCATTGGGAACTTTATGATGAAGAATGATATGACCGCTGCGGTGGTGGCCAGGAACCTTCTCACTCCCAAAGATAACAGACTACTTTCCAAACAGTCTGATGAGTTGGCTATTAAGGATTTTCTGGCTTTCAGTGTTTAGTGTGCAGGTTCTATGTCTAATATGGCCCAACGCCTATTTGCTCAGAACCCGCCAAGTTGAACCATTGGCGGCTGAAGTGATAAGTCTCAAACAGGAGATCAGAGGGCTTAAGCATGAGAATAAACAGTTACACGAACTCGCACATGACTATGCTACAAACATGAAGAGGAAGCTCGACCAGCTGCAGGAATCTGATAGTCAGATTTTACTTAATCATCAGAGGTTTGTGAGTTTGTTCCAAATGCATTTATTGCCTTCGTCTTCTAGGGCTGTACCACGTAATGAAGCTCTAAATGATCAACCTTCGGTGCCTCCTCCTTCTGGGGTTTTGCCCAGTACTGAGACTCCGAATGCTCACCCTCCGGTGCCTCCTCTTTCTGGGGCTCTGCCGACTGCTGAGACTCCTCCTGAGCAACCTTTGTGAATGCTCCATCTTGTTTGTTTATTTTGATTCATGTATATATACATATTTGTAACTTATCGGAGATATCAATAAATAAGTTTTGCTTCATTTCAATGTATTGTGTTAAATACACCAAGGCTTTATTCACTATGTTCTTTGAATTTTTTTCTTTTGTTGAAGCTTGTATGTTGAAGCTTTGTGAGTGAAGCATGTAGGTTGAGGTAGTGCTCCCTTAATTTCTCGAGTGAGGAAAACTTCTCAGTTGGAGACTTGAAAGATCCAAGTCACTGAGTAGTCGTGAACCTTCCAAATACCGAGGTGTAGTAGAATATGGTAGGAGTCCCCCAAGTCTCCGATCGAGGGAGTTGACGAATGAGGTGTCTTGCTAGTAGCCAAGTTTCCAAAGTAACAAAACTTCACCGTTTTCCTTTCTAAGTGGTAGCCCAAAACTCCTCATTCATATATATTTGTTATGAAAGTTGTTAGGCCAAAAGAAGAAGAGGTCTACGCCCTTTTTTTTATTGATTTTTTTCTTTCGAATTTCCGAATTTCTAAATTTTCGAATTTCCAAAAAAAAAAAAATATATATATATATATATTAAGCTTTATATGTGAAGTTTTGTAGGTGAAGCTTTGGTGTTGAAGCTTTGTAGGTAAAGCTTTGAGGTTGAAGCTGTGTTAGGTACCATGAATTGATTTTGCTTCACACTATCTTGATCAAGAGTACTTGAAGCTTTTGGCACTTATAGTTGAAGCTTTGTAGATGAAGCTTTTGTGTTGAAGCTTTATAGATGAAGCTTTGTAGGTGAAGCTTTGGAGTTGAAGCTTTTGTAGGTGAAGCTTTAGAGTTGAAGCTTTGTGAGTGAAACTTTGGAGTTGAAGCTTTTGTAGGTGAAGCTTTGGAGTTGAAGCTTTGTAGGTGAAGCTTTGTAGGTGAAGCTTTTGTGTTGCAGCTTTGGAGTTGAAGCTTTGTAGGTGAAGCTTTTGTGTTGAAGCTTTGTAGGTGAAGCTTTGGAGTTGAAGCTTTGTAGGTGAAGCTTTTGTGTTGAAGCTTTGTAGGTGAAGCTTTGGAGTTGAAGCTTTTGTAGGTGAAGCTTTTGTGTTAAAGCTTTGTAGGTGAAGCTTTGGAGTTGAAGCTTTTGTAGGTGAAGCTTTGGAGTTGAGGATTTGTAGGTGAAGCTTTTGTGTTGAAGTTTTGTAGGTGAAGCTTTGGAGTTGAAGCTTTTGTAGTTGAAGCTTTAAAGTTGAAGCTTTTGTAGGTAAAGCTTTGGAGTTGAAGCTTTGTATGTGAAGCTTTT